TTTCACAAGTGACTTCACGATTTTCCATTTGACGTTCATTCAAATTGTGTAGGTCCCATTTACCGAGTTTATTGATCTTTCCCATTGCTCGTAAACGTTTGCTGATTGTTTCTTGTGATACATGTAATGCTTCTGCTAATTGCCGTTGAGTTTGAGTTGGGTCATCATCCAATAAGTCCTGCAATTGCTCGTCTTCGCATTTTTGTGGTCTACCAGAGCGCTCACTGTCTTTCACATTGAAATCACCATTTTTAAATTGTCGAAACCATGTCTCACATGTTCTAATCGATGGAGCGTGTTCACCATATGTTTCTACCAGCAAACGATGACTTTCAACAGCCTTTTTCTTTTGATTAAATAAGAAAAGCAATGCGTGCCGCAAATGTTCTTTTTCAGGCACAAAACTCGACATGATCACTGAACGATAAAACAAAGACGCTAGTTTTTGGCGGACTCAACTTGTGTGTGTTTGTAGTTTTAAATGTCAGACGAACAAAATGACGTATGTGTCAAATTAATACGCTGCGTACTTTTCGCTGTCGCCATCTCTTAGTTAAACCGGAAAAAACTTATACATACACCTGGTAGACAAACTTGTCGACCGATTCGAATTAACAAAACAATAATATCACAGACTGGCGTTACTAAGTACCTTGGTATGCATCTTGATAAACGACTCACATAGAAAATCATATATGGACCAAACGAAAGCAGTTAGATATGCAACTGAGGAACATGTATTGGCTGACTGGTAGGCATTCATAACTCATACCGGAAAGTAAATTGGCAACATATAAATTCATATTGAAACCAGTATGGACTTACGGTATACAATTCTGGGGTACAACCTAAGAAAACAATATATATATACTTGAGCAGTTTCAAAGAAAAGCACTGCGCACTATGCTGAGCATTCCTTACTATATCAGTAATCGATACATGTACAAAGACTTAGAAGTCAACACGAGAAGAAATAGTAAAATATAGCGCCAAATACAAGATACGGCTTAGTCATCGCCCCAACACACTGGCTCTTCTTGACCCTAAAAGAGTTCGCTTTAGAAGACTGAAGAGAGCAAATACTCTTGACCTGACGTAACGATTTGAACTCTAAAAGACGCTAATTTCATATGGTATTATAGCTTAATAGAGGCATAACCAGTAAATAGTTATATTACGGAATGGTAAAATCAATAATCTTAGCTGCTTATTGTCGTTTGGACAGATTGCAGTGTTGCGGTGGGACAACAGGAAAAAGAAAAGTCAAGTAAAGCACATAAGTTTTGATGTGTCTTGAAAAATGGATAGAATCGAATGTCGCACAGTGATACAACACTTTATTTTAAAAGGTTTAACGCTAATGGAAATAAAAAATGAGCTGGATTCTATTTTGAAAAACTTACCATCGTTTTCAACAGTGAAAAAAATAAGCTGCTGAATTCAAACGTTCGTCCGTTTTTGACGATGAACATTCAAGTCGTCCAAAAACCGCAACGAATGAGGAAATCATCGAAAAAATCCACAATACCAAGTTAAATCATCGATGGGTGAAAGAGCGTGAGTTTGCTTACATTGCGAACATTTCAATAGATCGTGTTCAAAACATTGTACACAAACATTTGCACGTAAAAAAGCTTTCAGCGCGATAGGTGCCGAATTTACTAACAGTCAATCAGAAATGCATTCGAATGAATGCATTCGAATGTTTCTCAGGAATACTTGGACACGTTTAAACGCAATCCGACCGAATTTCTGCTACAATTCATCACTGTTGATAAAACATAGATTCACCATTACACGCCAGAGACAAAACCATAATCCAAATAATGGGTGAAACAGGGTGAAAGTGCTCCAAAGAAGGAAAAAACTGTTCCATCAGCCGAAAAGGTAATGGCAACAGTTTTTTTGGGATTCGCGGGGTGTGGTGCTTATATATATTATTATTTAGAAAAAAGCAAAACCATCAACGGAGAATATTATGCAACACTGCTGGAGTAATTGAACGATGCTATTAAGGCAAAACATCCGCGTTTGGCAAAGAAAAATGTGCTTTTCGATCACGACAATGCACCCGCTCACACTTCTTCAATTGCAATCGCAAAGCTCCATGAATTGCGCTTTGAATTGCTGCCACACGCACCATACTCACTAGATTTAGCCCCCAGTAACTTTTTACTGTTCCCGAATCTGAAAAAATAGCTCGCCGGAAAAAATTCACTTCAAATACAAAGGTCGCTGATACAAACGCATATTTTGCATAATTCGAGAAATTGTATTATACTGATAGTATAAAAAAGTTAGAATATTGTTGGTCTAAGTATATTGAGTTGAAAGGGGACTTTAATGAAAAATTTAAAAAATTTTATCAAAAATCATATGTTTTCTTTGTCAGGTTGAGAACTACCCTCTTATGTATGAAGTATTTTTTAACGGATGTATATATGCATAAATATAACTTTTATGTAAATTTAAAGGATCCAAAGGTAGACAATGGGAAAGCGGAAGAATTAAAGAATATATACGTCGGACTTATTATGAAAAGCAGACAATTATATTTAGACTATCACGAGAGTCATCCCGGTTTCTTCGCTTCAGTGGTAAAAATTCACATTGTTCTCATTAATATAAAAACCTTGGTATAAAATTAATATAATACTGTATAAGATCATCGTTACATGCTGTAGTTATTCATGGACGATTATGCAAGAGCTTTCGATTCGCTACTTGATTTCATATATGAGCTATATATAAATCAGTCTTATAGGAAGCCGATCTTCTTGTCGGAAATGAATAATTTTACGCAGATAGCGATTCCTGCCACGCTCAAGAGTATCATAAACAACATGACAGAGTGAGTGTATACAATAAAGTCTTTATAGAAATTCTGAAGTTTGTGCTTCAACTTGAAGCAACTTGAACTCTTTTAATTTAAAAAAATTTACATGCACATTTGTCTTTTGCAGACATTTGTCAGTATCGAAACATCAACAGAAAACCATATTTAAAACACATAGATCCATATTGCAAAAGTGATGAACGGATGATTATTACCGAACTGCAAAGAATTTTTACTTATAATAATTAAAAATGAAGCTATGACTGTCGCCTTGTGCAAGAAAGAAAAATTTAAAAGAAATAGTTCTCGACACACCTGACGCTACTTATTACAAAAATATGTTGCGCAACATTTAAACATTAATATTATGCACGCAGTAATAACTATAGTATATCAGTGCGTAGTTATTAAAAATGAACATATATTCAAAAATAATTTTAAGTCTAAGGAATTTGCCACCTTCCTTATAAATATACCGAAAAAAAATAAAATTACATTCTTGAGCTTGTATCGTTACTATTGCATTTACGATACATTCAAGTCTCATCTTTGCACATATGTTAATAACTGCATTCACGTAATTAATAATTACATCAACTATATACATTACGATAAGATGACAAAGGATAAATTGCAATGTGCAAATTCATTTTCGTTTATATTTGTAAGAAATTAAAAAAATCTACTTCTAAATTTATGTATCAGCCTCTTGTTAGAGCTTTAATTTTTCTTCAGTCGTACTACCATTCAGTTCGTGTGACATTCGTTCGAAATTATTCTTTTAATTCTTCAACGCAACTTTTAACTCAAATGCGTATCGATACGATATGATTACTGTTAAAATTCGCGTCGATGCGATATAATTATTGTTAAAATTCGTTGTGTTCGAAGCTACGTCTACTTTAGACTTGCGTCACAATATATATTTTGTACAAGTAATCTCGTTCAGTAAATGTAATCATGGAATTCATAAGAAGATGAAATAAAAATAATACAAGTCTAGTTTGATCGTCGACGCTGTATATTTTCGTGCTACCTGATTGTGTCTACATTTCTTCGTTTACGTTACCTCAATAATTTATCTGCTTCCAAGAAGACCTTATCGCGTATAGGGTGGCGCGCTCCCTGCAAGCGCATCTTTAAGACGGAGAGTTTTTTTTTGTTTATGACACAGCGGAGACTGTGCGCCTCGGGCGCGCGGGGATTGTCGGGGCGAGCCCTGCGTCCCCTCATGTGTATAGCCTCTCTCCGGATGGCGGCGAGAAGCAGACGAGGTGCCACCCGCCGGATGGAGGAGCGGAGACCGCCCGAACGTGCAGCCGGACCCCAGTGGACTCGCCTTGCTCTTGTCCTTTGTCGGCTATCGAGAAGCCGCTATCGACACCGCCTAGGCTGTTGTGTTCCGTCCCCTCTGCAGCGGTAAAGTCGGCGGGCCGAGGACGCGCACAAGGGCGAGCCAAGAACAGGAGCCGCGGTATCGAGCCGAGTCACCAAGGCAGGAGGTGAGACGGCGGGCCAAAGAAGCGAATCAGCTACCGTCAGCAAAAATCCGCCTGTCAAGGAGGGGCAGACTTCGTAGCCACGAAGGAGAGGAGAAGATCTGCTTAAAATCGGCAGGTCCCCCGACAGAAGAGAGATTTTAGCGTTTGGCGAACTACGGTGCGGAAAAAGAGAAAGTGAGTGTTGCGAGTAAGAGAGAGAGAGAGAGAGAGAGAGAGAGGGGACGTGCCGCACGAGGAGGACGAGCATCCCCAAGCGCCAGCCGCCAGGAGCCCGATTTCGTAAGGCCGCTCATCCGCATTTACCGTTGCCACGTATCGCGTGGGTCGTCCATTCGGTCGACCGCCGTGTAGCCCCCCCGACGGACTTGGGAAAGAAGGCGATAACGCCAAATTAAAAACTATCCGTCGGTAGCTGCGTCGAGGTCGTACTGGAGGATCGCCTCCGCGGGTGTAGCGTGTCGTGCCGTTCCCTCCATCTTGGCTCAGCTGTCGCTCGAAGGGCCAGCTACCCTATCGGCGGACATCACGAGTTCGCCGCGGTCCGGACGAAATTTAAAATTGTATATCGCGAAGCGCTACCGATTGAGCGCAGTCTGTTGTTGAAATCGTTGAGCCGAATAAAGGGCACATTACGTTACCGAAACGGCTAGTCGAATGATTTCATTCATTATCCCAGCGTGACCCTACGAACCACCCCGCCTCCGACTTAACCCACTAAAGAGCTACCGGGTTCGTTCGGGACGAACTCAGGTCGCGGAAAAGGACATATTGGGTCCGAAGCACGAACGACTTCGTGGACCACGTGTGTTTTCGTTTCATGGGTGCGACCTGTGCGCACCTGGCGCCCATCCATCGTTTGGCGGATTAATTCGCGACCCGAGGTCACTTTCACTTTCTTCGGGTTCGCCCGGCGGTCTTTGTCCTGGCGATTCGGACGAGCCGAATTTAAAAATCCGGTTGCAGCGTACGGTGAGATAGTTTTTTTCGTTTGTAAAGCCATGAACTTGCGTAGAGCCAGACTAGTCGTTTGCTATTGCTATTGAAGCCGATTGCCTCGGTACTTGGTATTTATTGACTCTTTAGTGTTGGGCATGCCCAGCGATCAGGATCTGGCAAGTGACAGAATTTCATAACTCCGAATCTCATAGGCTTACGAAACACGGGTGAACACCCGGAATGTCTAGTATCGGTTTCCTAGGGATCGAGAAGTCAGGACATTTTAGCTGTAAGGCCATGTTTATCGCGGAGCGCAAACATCGTACCCTTCTTGCCATGGGCATTGCGTAGCATAAAATGGCGTCGAGTGAATCGTGCAGCGAATCGTGAATCTCCTGCGTCTCGGACAAGACTGATCTGTCGTGTAACGTACTTGTCACGTGTGTTTAGTATTTTTGCGTTCGTTGGATCCGCGTTCGTAACTCAGAGTTACGGACGGTGGTGAATTGTTCAGTGTAATATTTCGCGGCCCGGCCAAGAATGACGAATTGCACCAGGTGATTATAGCATTTCTCGCATCTTATTTTCGTATTGTAGTGCTCATAAATTGTGTTGCGTTTCGATTACATATTTCACTCCGACTTACACGTTTGGCAATGTGCGAGCTGTTACATATGCGATCGTGTGAATATCGTACCGTAATGTAAGAATATGAGGAAATGAAACGACAAAACACGAATTTCTGCGACGGATACAGACGTTGCTGTTACGAGCGGCGCGACAGAGTTTTCGGAAAAACCTTTCTGTTCAGGAGCTGGACTACGACTAAGATTAAATACCCTTGGTATCTAGGCCTTTTCTAAAAGGAAAGGAATATGGGAAGATATATTTGTGAATTTTGACCCAACAAAAAAAGGTTTGGAATGAAATTATATTTTTTTGCTGCGTCAGTCGACTATTACGGAATGGTGCAAGAATGTATTTGTTTCGATACTATCTAGATTATTGGAAAATATGGTAGTGCAATAAATATTACAGGGGAAAAAAAGGTAAGGGCTCACATAGCGGCACAAAAGTCGTTTATTAAATAATAAATGAAACTTACAAAAAATGGCTTGCATATTTTGTGTATGGAACACTTTCTGTAAACTTTCATTCTATATAGCCGCCTCCTGCCTCAATCGCCGTTTCAATTCTCGGCCAGAAACGTAAACATGCTCTCTGCATTTGCCCTCGGTCTATGTCTGCGATTGCCTGTTGAATTGTAGTCCGTAGAGATGCCACATTAGAGTGTCTCGACTTATTACTGACTCTCTCAACTACGCTCCAAACGTAGTAGTCCAATGGATTAAGGTCTGGATTATTTGAAGGCCAAAACGCTTTTGACCAAAACATATCGACGTTGTCAGAGAGCCAGTTTTGAAGTGGCTCGTGTGAGCGGGTGCACTGTCTTGTTGAAACATGTACGGCCTTTCTGAGGCCATATTCTCCATCCAGGGTTTACTACCGTCGATAAAACCTGCACGTACACCTCTTCATGACCGTTTTATCCTCAAAAAAATGAGGCAGCGTGACGTCACCATCACTGGAGACGACGCCGAGCACGTGGACGCTCGCTAGAAACTTTGTGCTGACTACAACAGGGACATCCTCGGAATTTTGGACGAGCCAACATCGATCGTTCCTTTGGAGATTCACTTTGGCATCCACAGTGAAAATCTTTTCGCCTGAAAAAAATCTGAAGCGACTAGACGCTTCGTTTTTGAGCGAGAACAGCAACAAGCGGCAGCGGGCAACTCTCTTAATCTTCGTGTCTTCCGAAAGCATTTGCCGCACTTTAATGACGCAAGATGTGTATCTCAGGTTCTCCTCAGCAATTCTTCGCATAATGATATCACACCCAAGATCGAAGCTAATTTTAGGCGCGATATCCCAGGATCCTTTAAAATCAAATCCTAAGCTTTTTCCAGTGTCTCAGGTCCAGAGTCCTTGATATCCTTTCACGTGAATATTTCTTCCTTACCAGATCACAGGAACGTTTTTCGGATTGCTTAGAAGCCGAAAACTTGACAACCACCCGGTAAACAATCGATTTCGAGTAACCTCGTAATCTCAGGTGGCGTACGTCCAGCGCGAAGACTTTCGACAATCGCAATTCTTCGGTTAAGCTCCAAACTTATTTGTGTTGATTCGGCCATTTTTACTTCACAACTGCTTTACAGATACACGTGCACTACTCTAACGCCAGCTAGCATTTACCCGGGAAGTAAAAATTAGCGAGAAATTCAAATTTAAATTAGTCTCAATTTAGCTAGTGCACCCTGTATATAATTAAGCATTAAGTCTTATACGTACGTTATTACGTCCTGGAAGAGAACGCAACGACCGCATTCGCAAACGCGTCCCAAACGTACCTGTATGCCGGCGATGCAGATCAGAGATCGGAAGGATCACTTTACTCTGACGCGGACGTACACAGGGTGGTCCTAATTTAGGTCAAGATACTGAAACCCTTTCCTGGGATAAGACTGCGAGTGAAATAAAAGGGTGGTGAATGCGCGAAGGTTTTAACCCTTAGCTGACTCACGGGGTTAAAAATACCCCAGAGTGTTTTTGAATAATGAATGCTTTTTCATAGTTGCGCGCCAAATTTGGTTCTGTGGCGTCACCTAGTATTAGTCGAGGCTTGACCCAAGGTGTTTGTGCTATAACGGTAGTTTAGTCAAGCGTCATCTGCCGTAGAGAGCTCGTTAAAAATC